AAATAGATAATATTTTATTTTTGTCCAAACTTATTACAAGATTCACACAATGATCAGAATATAAATAGATATTATTTTTATCCAAACCTATTACAAGATTCACACAATGATCAGAATATAAATATTTATCATTTTATTTTTATCCAAACTTATTACAAGATTCACACAATGATCAGAATGTAAATAGATAATATTTTATTTTTGTCCAAACTTATTACAAGATTCACACAATGATCAGAATATAAATAGATATTATTTTTATCCAAACCTATTACAAGATTCACACAATGATCAGAATATAAATAGATATTATTTTTATCCAAACCTATTACAAGATTCACACAATGATCAGAATATAAATAGATATTATTTTTATCCAAACCTATTACATTTGATCATTGTGTGAATCGAATATAAATAGGTCATATATTCTGTCTTAAGTAACAACAGTATTCAGCTAAAACACGTAAAACCTAACTTAGTAAACAACAACTCGCAATTCATTTCTAAGGATATAGTTTAGGCTTTCGTTCACTTTTAATTGACATTGTTTCTTATAATTAACGTTTGTTAATTATATAAATTTGTTTCGGGTACTTACAGTCAGACTAATATACACGCTAATAACAAAAACTTCAAGATACATTTTTCAAAGACACAGCGTATTGAATTACCGATTTTTGAATAGTTTAAGTAGTAGTATGTTGAATAACTATGTTAACAATGTTTGCGATAAACGCATAGATAAACTGTTTTCCATTGTTATCCAATACAGCTTCAAGAAATACCAAAATACACTCTATAAACCAATGCGAATTTTCCCGGATAATCGTCATTTATCTTGTATTAATAATTCTCAAGCTGGGATAATATCGTATTATATAACTATACAGAAATTCTTACCAGTATACAAATATTTTGTTTTCCTGGAGTCTGAGGGATAATTTGAGGTGACAGTAATACTTTACCGCCATCTATTATCTGAAGTTAACATAATCATTACAATTTAATTAGATCATCATTGAAATAATACAAACAAATAAAGAGATGAATAAATAAAATTATCATTCAATAAATAGTAGCAAAACCTTGCTATGTAACGTAGATCGTAGTGGCTAGGTTTCTACGTACAATCTGGTAATTTAAAGTCAGCTTCTTACAATCTTCTTCGAAGGGAGCAATTGCCCGTTTTGTCCTCCTCCCACAATTAGCGCCCTGGTAGCTTAGGTTTAAGCAACAAATAATTGTTTCGATCCATCAGCTTAGTATGTTAACCTCATGGGCTTAAGCAATGACTAATTGTTTCAATCCGTCAGCTTAGTATGTTAACCTCATGGGCTTAAGCAATGACTAATTGTTTCGATCAGTCAGCTTAGTATGTTAACCTCATGGGCTTAAGCAAAAGCCCATGAGGTTAACATACTAAGCTGACGGATTGAAACAATTAGTTATTGCTTAAGCCCATGAGGTTAACATACTAAGCTGACTGATCGAAACAATTAGTCATTGCTTAAGCCCATGAGGTTAACATACTAAGCTGACGGATTGAAACAATTAGTTAACGCAATAATTAATTGTTTCAATCCGCCAGCTTAGTATGTTAAACTCATGGGCTTAAGCAATGACTAATTGTTTCAATCCGTTAGCTTAGTATGTTAACCTCATGGGCTTAAGCAATGACTAATTGTTTCAATACGTCAGCTTAGTATGTTAACCTCATGGGCTTACGCAATAATTAATTGTTTCAATCCGCCAGTTTAGTAGGTTAAACTCATGGGCTTAAGCAATGACTAATTGTTTCAATCCGTTAGCTTAGTATGTTAACCTCATGGGCTTAAGCAATGACTAATTGTTTCAATACGTCAGCTTAGTATGTTAACCTCATGGGCTTAAGCAATAATTAATTGTTTCAATCCGTTAGCTTAGTATGTTAACCTCACTGGCTTACGCAATAACTAATTGTTTCGATCAGTCTGGTTAGTATGTTAACCTCATGAGCCTAAGTAATAATTATCGTTTCGATCCGCGAGGTCAGTATGTTAACCTCATGAAGAGCGAGATGCGTTAGATCCAAAAACTCGTTCGTTAAAATTTGAAAAATATAAGTTTCGGGAAATACTGTGATACTTATACTTTAAATTATTCTATTTCAGCAGTTTTGTTTGTTTTGAGCTCAAGCTTCATAAAAAAAGATGAATATAGTGTAGCATAATGTCGAACTGATCATTTTTAGCACACTTTCTTGTTCGTTAATAGATCGTTGAATCACACGCTGCACATTGATAGATTTAAAAAAAAAGATTTCATTAATGAGGAATACTTTATTGTCTTTTCATTAAATCTTTGTTGTTGTTATTAATCCGATTCCCGGTTCTTTTTATTTTCTTAACCTAGATTTCACTCTCCAATGTAATGTTGGCTAGAATATTTGATCCTTTACATGCCAGGGGAAAATTATTAGAACATTGCTTTCCAGCTTCAGCATCCTTTTTTTTCTTTCTTTGTAAACGGAGGGATAAAGAGACATTGTGGACTATAATAGACATTAATAGTTATTTTCCTTTCTAAGAGGTTTTTTTGTGTGTGTGTGCATTGTTGACCCAGATTGTCCTCGGAAAATATAGCTGAGTTAGTTCAGCTTTCCTTACAAGTGCGCTTTTCGATCTATTTATGGTTACTATTGTTCTTTATATACAACATCATTGGAGACAACAACAACAACAAAAAAAAACAACCGGCGGCAGAATAGTAGAAAGAACAGCGGGTCTGAATTGAAGCAAAATGAGAATACAATATATCAGAAAACCGACCAAAGGAAAAAAAAAAGGCTCTCCTCATTCAACAATCCACAAACACTCTTTTCACATCAACGTTCGTTCAGCCATGTTTTAAAATCACAAAGCGGAGAGAATGGGCGTTTGAATTTATAACAGCGGAAAACTATATTGACAACAAATTACTGAAACTTTTCTTTTTTCAAGCAGCATGTCAGATGAAGATGGATAACCCCCCCTTCTACGTTTGCCGACTACTGAGAAACATTGTGCGCGAGACCAGAAAATAATTCGGTATGTCTACGTTTTCCAGCGCTGATATGAACAGATAAGAACTGGATAGAGCGCCCCTATATGAATAACAAACAAACCGTTTCTAAACTTGATACAAGTATTAAAAATACGGAAAGTTTGGAGAAGTGATACGACGAGGAACGTAGTAATCAACCGATGGTTGATAAAGTATCCTGAGTTAAAACGTGACATTTCAATACAAAATCCTATAATTATAGTGCTGTCTTTTACTCACCGTTATAAACACACACTTATATATGATTTGAGGAGTTACTAATTCATTATTTTAAGTTATTTAACAGCAAACTCTTGAAGATACTATAAATAATTATGAAGCCCAATCTAAATATTAGATTTCTCATTTGTTACCGAGTTATACCGGTTTTTGGAAATTCCACCTCGCTACAAAATGATAGATTGGGTTTCATATTTATTTGTAATATCTCAGAAGCGTATCTGCTGAATAATTCAGAAATATAAATTAATATCATTAATGCTACATATTCCTGAAATCTTATATAAACATAGGTTTACTGCGGTGAGTGAAAGACAGCCCAAAACACCATACATATGATATATAGTCCATGAATATATATATATATATATATATATAAACCTATATCCTATATCTTTTTGAGTGATTGACTGTTGTTGTTGTTGTATTTTTCTGGGTTGTTGTTGTTGTTCTTGTCTAGGTTTACCGACGAAGGGGGAATTCTCCTAGTGAGTGAATTGAATGATAGATTAGGCGTAATGTTTATTTTTTGAAACCTCTAAGGTCGATATAAAATGCAGTTATACTTTTTTTAACAATATTTTGTATGCTTAAAAAAAACTTACGCAAGAACACTGACAGTAATTTTAACTGTCAGTGCCATTTAATAAGTTTTGCAAAGTACTGGAAAATCGTTCGAGAAAATCAGGCTGATGTATAGAAATCAAACCTCAAATGTGAAGCAACAAGAACCTAGCTGGTGAAATATACATACACGAGAAAATCAGGCTGATGTATAGAAATCAAACCTCAAATGTGAAGCAACAAGAACCTAGCTGGTGAAATATATATACACGAGAAAATCAGGCTGATGTATAGAAATCAAACCTCAAA